ACACACGACGATGTTTCCCAAACTAACATGACTCACATTGCAAAACTGACAAATGACTCAATGACGGAACCAATATTTTGAGAATCTTGAGAGATGGATGTCCTAGTCGGCAATGCCATTGTAGAGGAGTAAGTGAAGTCTGAAGAGAAATTGAAGATCCACCACCGTCAAGATAATACAATCCACCAGCTTCATGCCCCCCACCAATCTTCTTCCCCGTCTTGAGATCCTGAAAAACACAAGTGGAAGGAAAAAAGGTAACAAAATAGTTAAGAGCCTTGTTTATTTTACTAACAGACATAAGATTGAATGGAACTGTAACAGATGGGAGATGAAAACCCATTGGCAACTGTAACAGTTTGTGATGTGGAAGTTTCAGAAAGAGAGGAGAATACACCTGGAGTCCCGGTCATGTGATCAGAGGCTCCGAGTCAATAATCCAGGGAGAGGTTTTAGATGACATGCAAGCAATACCTGAGTGGGCAAGAGTGGCAGTGGTATGCTATGAAGTGGTTTGAAGGAACCGTTCATACTCATCACGCGTTGCACTCACCATCTCCCTCCCAGAAGTAGATGTACATGTGGGAGGAGTTAGGTCTGCCTGTTTACTGCCACTGATATCAACCTCACCAGCTACAACATGATTAACCAATTTAGAGGGAGGGCCATGTAGATCATAACAGAAATTCACCGTGTGTCCTTCCCTGCCACAATGAGTACACTTCCTTGCAGAGTTACTCTTCCCTCTACCACGACCTCCCCCTGAGTCACGACCACCACCTCGGCCGAACATGGAACTACCACGGCCTCCTCACGAGGCATGTCCTCCCCCTCTTGTACCACGTCCACTTCCTCTAGCTGTCACAAGTGCTGATCTATCAGACTGTGTGGGATTCTCTATCTGTCCCAAAGAAATTCTGCGAAGCTGTGAGAATACTTCCTCAAGTGTAGGAAGGGTGGAGCTCCCTAATATTTGGGCTCTAACTGGTTCATACTCCGATTTCAGCCCCACCAAGAATCTTGTAACATCTAGTTGTTCCCTTTGCTGTTGTTGAACTTTAATATCTAGAGTGAGGGGATGATAGACATTGAGTTCATTCCTTATATT